CTGGGTTGGTTTTGCTGTGCTGGCACCTTCCCCAAGGCAGCAGAGCTTGGTCAGGGGGGGATTCTCAGCATTTCCCCCCCAAAATGGGAACCCACATGGGAATGTTTCATCTGGCCAGTCCAGCATGAGCTGGAAAAAGCATTTGACAATATCCCGTGGAGAAGCAGCTCAGCACTGATGAGCAAATAGATTTTCCCAACCCCGTTTCCTGTGACTTGCTCCTCACAACTGCTCAGTGAATTAAAAGATGCAACTCATAAATATTAATTATTTCATATTATTTTTGTTGGTTTTCATACCATTGCAGTGGTTTGAAAGAAGTTTTAAAGATAAATCAAATGAGAGTCCTCTGAAAAGGTTCATCAAACACAAGCAGAAGCTGTGGGAGGAGATGGAAACAGCTGAGAGGAAGGAGCTCAGGAGGAATTTCTCCATGGAAAGGGGAAGGGCTGCCCAGGGAGGTTTGGAGGTTGGCAGGTGTGCCCTGGAGGTGGCACCGAGAGCCATGGGCTGGGCACAAGGTGGGCACAGCTGGCATTGCATGGGCTGGCAGGGCTGTGCCAGCCTCAGGAATTCCTGGACTCTGTGCCAGGGGATCCCTCCAGCCTCAGGCAGAGCCTCACAGGAATTGCAGGGACCTGTCAAGGAGTGAGCAGGACCCCGAAACTCATCCAGGGGAGTCTGTGACAAGAAGCCAGAACAAATTCTGTGTGATGGGAGCCTGGGCAAGGAGATGGAAATTCTGTCCTCTCGTCTGTCCTCCTGTCCTCCACACACCCAACACAGGGGCCAGAGCTGCAAGAAAACAACTCCTGTGTGAATTCAGCCACGAATTAATTCCTCATCTCCAGGTTCAGAGCTCTGACAGATCAGAATCCCCTCCCTGTGATCTTTGGGGCCACCTCAGCCCCACCAGCTCAGGGTCAAACTCTGCCTTTTCCCCAAGGCAGAAGAGAGGGAAAAGCCTGTTTTGTTTTGTTTTTTGTTTTGTTTTGTTTTGTTTTTATTTTACATTTTCAGGGCTGAGGAGTCCCCGGAGCACAGTGACACAGCAAGGGCAGCACCAAGAGCTGGCTCCTGTTACTGCCCCACAGATTTGTGCCCAGCCAGGAGCCCCTGGGGCAGCTCGAGCCTCAGGCAGGGACATTTCCCTGGATTTTCCCCCATCCCTGAATTTTTGGGTGCGTTCTTCACTCGTGGTTTGGTGCTGTCAGGTGGCTCTGACACGGACACAACTGCAAGGGACAAACAAAGATTGGTGTCTGAAGCAGCCATCAGCAGCTCTGACTGGGCTGGAAAAACATTCAGGAGGGTGTTACTGTCACTGGGCCAGGAGCAGGGCAAAAAAACCCTGCTGAGATATTTCTGTAACGCATCTTCCCTCTTCCAAACCAGATTTTAGGGCTCTGCTATTAAAAATGACTGGATGAAGGAAGGAGTTATACTATTTTTGTTTTCATTTTCCCCTCATTGAAGAAAAAAAAAAAAGGAAAAACATCTTGAAATGTCTACATCTACCAAAAAAAATTAAAATCCTGATTTCTTTTTCTTCTCTGCTTAGGGGGGAACGTTTCTTCAAATAAACAAAGATTAAAAGATCACAAAAATGAACTCCCTTTTTTGGTATATTTTTCAATTCGCTGCAATTTGAAATCTAGGCATAAATAAATGTTTCAGTGTAATTCAAAGTAAATATAAATAACAGTAAATGGGGCCCTGAGCAAGCTGATCTGGGAATGCCATCCCTGCTCTTGGCAGGGGGGTTGAAATCAGAGGGTCTTTAACCCAAACCATTCTGTGATCCCAAATGTATCCAGTGATTCTAAATCTATTCAACAAATATATTAATAAAAGTTATAAATGTGAGCCTGCTTCTGGCAATATTTAAAATAAATCTTTGCAAGCAAACCTGGCTACTTCTCACCAGCAAACCCAAAGGCAAAATCCAAGGGCCAGGTTTGAAATGAACATAAAAAACAAATTAACCTCTAACACTTCTCAGAGGGTGAGGAGAGGAATTTGGAGCTGGATTTGAGGATCCATGGCCTGAGTGCTGCAGGAAGGCTGAGGAGATGATCCTGATGGGCCAAACAGGTTTAAGATTTTTTGAGTTATCAAATCCTTTCATTCCCAGCACAGAAATCCCTTTATCCAGGAACACCCCCCACATGCAGGGCTGAAGGACAATTTGACTTCTCCCTTACCCACCAGGATGGGCACAAAGGAAAGGGAAAAATGCAGAACAGCTTTTGAGGGGGAGCAGCAGCAGATTCAGTCCCTGGGGATTTATCTGTGACAAGTTTGTTCTGCTGCAGTTGTTTTTTTCAGATTGCATTGACCCCGAGCCACTCGGAGCAGAAGGGAGGCTGTGGCATCTCTTGTAGCACAAAACAATCAAACCTTATTTCTTGCAAGTAAAGAGAAGAGAATAAAAAAAAACTTTAAAAAAAAAAAGAAAAATATGAAGAAGAAAAAGAAGAAGGAGCTGTGGTGATCTGTTTGAGGAAGTAGAAAAATGTCAAGACATAATTGCAGCTTCCCTTTCACTACAGGAGAGGCTGTGCTGGGGCCTCCTCCCTCATTTCTCACAGGAGGTGCCTGCAGAGCTGGATTAATGGATGCTCTGCCCCAGCCAGGTGCTAATGAAATGATGATACAGTTATTTCCAGCTCTCAGCACAACCTGCAGCTGGCAAATTGCTGGGACGTGCCCGTGGAACAGAGAAACAGAGCCAGGGGTGGGTGGGGACACAGCCAAATAGGAGCTGCAATAATCAGATTTTAGTGATACCCAAAACCCAGTGGTATTTACCCCGAAACTCACAGAGAAAACACCCCCGGGCTGGTTTTTATTTCCAATCTCATTAGAGATTATCTTGTTTCTTTTTTTGCCTCTGCCCAGCTGAACACTGCTTTCCTCCCCGCGCCCAATTTGGCACCGTTTGGGGGCAAGGACCAATTTATCCCATAAATTTCCTTGTGATGACTCTCAGCCCTCAGGAAGAGCTGGGATAAGTCATCTGTTGTATTAATCATGGAATCACACAAGGTTTGGGTTAGGAGGGGCCTAAAAGCTCATCCAATTCCACCCCCTGCCACAGCCAGGGACACCTTCCACAATCCCAGGTTGCTCCGAGCCCTGTCCAGCCTGGCCTTGGACACTTCCAGGGATGGGGAGTCCAAACTTTTTCCTGGATAATCAATTCCAGGACCTCCCCACACTCACAGCTCTGTTCTTCACGAGGTGACAGGAAGATTTGCAGACTTATGGTGTAATTCTGCACCTTTTTCCTACCCCTTGTGTTCTGCTGCCGCTGATTTTGTTGAAGTGTTTTGTGGAGGAAATATCTTGCTGAAAAATCCATCTGGGCAATCGTTCCAAGTAAAGTTTAAAAAAATAATTAAATAAAAGGACAGATGATATTCTTTTTTATCTCACCTGACAAAAAAATAAGATGCGAACTCTGAAGGGTGAGTTTTATGTGGCTGTAGCAGTGGTTCGCCCTCCAAAGCGCTTCAGGGGGTTTCCTACACTCAGGGCAAATTCTGAGCACCTTCTCCTACAATTAAATTATTAAATTTGCCTTCTGCACAAACAAAAATCGAGGAGCCTGAAGGGAGGGGCTGAGGAGCCTCAAGTGCCAAATCTGCCTCAGTCTGCAGCAATTTGGTGAAAAATGGAAGTTGTGTGGCTGCCTTTGTTCTGCTGCTGGCCCAACGCCACCAGAGCGTTTCTGCCTCGAGCTGCAGAGCCTCAGCTCCTCCAGAAGCTGCTCTGGTCTATCTCACCCCAACCCATGCCCAAACCAGGAGATCATTCCGGGTTTGTGCCTGAATCACCTGGAGCAGGAGGGTGTGCAGGGACAGGAGGGGCTCAGCCACAATGAAATTGCTGCTCCCCAAAAATGTGTCCAAGCAAGGCCCTGCTCTGGCTGGTGCTGGGGTGTCCTCGGGGGCCAGCCAAGGGCAGGGCAGCTGCTGATCTGTGTCCCCAGACCCTTGGGGACACTGCCAGAGTGGTTTTCCTGCCCTGCTTCCCTCCCTGCTCGGGAGGCAGCGGAAAAACCCAGGCAGGCTCACGTGCCAGGAGCTGTCTGCTGCCTTTCATCAGCTCCTCTGCATCCCTCCCCTCTCAGCACCTGCTGCCAGACACGATCTGCCCAAAAAATGAATGTTTCTGCCCAAAAAACGAATGTTTCTGCCCAAAAAATGAACGTTTCTGCCCAAAAAATGAGCGTTTCAGCCCTGGGGATGGGGGCTGTGCTCAAAGCCTGGTCCGTGCTGCCCTGGGACAGGACACTGCAGGTGCCACCTTCTCTGTGGCCCTGGGGACCAAGCTGGCTGCCCTTTCCTTCTGGAACAACCCCTCAGCTTCCTCCAGAATGGGATTGGGCTTCTCTTTTTGTGTGCAACAGCTGGCCCTGGAATCATTTCAAGGAGGGGGCTCGGCAGGGAGGCTCTGCCAAAACCTCACTCGTCGGGCTAAAAGCTCCCCACTGCTTTGTGGTGGGACCATCCAATGTTCTGGGGTGCTGAGGGCCTCCAAACTGTCCCAGAATGTCCAGTCAGTGTCCGTGTTTGTCCCACCAACACGTGGGGCTCGCAGAGGGTTTCATTTGGCAGGGGGAGGTTTGGAGTGCCCAGCCCTGGAGGTGCCCAGGGAAGGCTGGAGGTGGCACTCGGTGACAAAGGGGGGATCTCGCTGGTCTGGGAGGGCTTTCCCACCCTCAGTGACCCCATGAATCCATGAGAGAGCCCTTGGCAGGGGCTCTGTGTGCAGGGATCACTCTGTCTGTCACATCCCCGCGGTTGTTTATTCCCATTTTCCCCGAGCTGCCCAGCCCCGGGGCACGGCAGGAGCTGCTATCCCGGGAATCCAGTGACTCCCATCCCACCCGGGGAGGAGGCAGCAGCACCCTGTGCCCTTCTGGCGAGCAGAAAAATGAACATTTTCCCATCAGAACGGCCCGACCCAGCCCGGCCGCCCCTCGGCTGTGCGGGATGCAGGAGCATCTCTGCCTGTCGCTGTCGCTTAGCAACGGCAGCNGCAGGGGTCTCTGCCCGGGTCCCCCCACTCAGCGCCCGCCCGTGTTCCTGCAGCCGCCCATCCAGGTGTACGGGCTGGAGGGACGCTATGCCACCGCCCTCTACTCGGCTGCCAGCAAGCAGAAGAAGCTGGAGCAGGTGGAGAAGGAGCTGACCCGGGTGTGGGTAAGGTGTTCCCAGCCAGGGCTCCCAGGGGTGGGAGTGGGGAGGGTTCCCTGCTGCTCCCCAGTAGGGAGGGGGCTGAGCTCCCATGACCTGTGAGACTCCCATCCTGCTGGCACCTGCACTGGCTGCTTGTGGCCCTGGTGTTTAAATGGGATATTGGGAAGGAATTGTTCCCTGGGAGGGTGGGCAGACCTGGCACAGGGTGCCCAGAGAAGCTGTGGCTGCTCCTCCCCTGGAAGTGTCCAAGAACAGGTTGGAAGGGGCTTGGAGCAATCTGGGATAGTGGAAGGTGTCCGTGTCCATTCAATCTTTAAGGTCCCTTCCAACCCAAACCAATCCCTGATTCTCTAGCTGGAGCTGCCATTTCATTTCCCATCAGCTCCAGAGCCCCTCTGTTCTCATTCCAGGAGTGCCCCTGTTGCCTGCCTGGGCTGCTCCAGGTGGGCCTTGTGACACCAGGAAAACCCCTGGCATTTGTCACATCTCTGTGTATCCCCTCAGAGCCTCCTGAAGGACCCCAAGCTGTCCAGTGTGGTGATGAACCCTCACACCAAGAGCTCCGTGAAACAAAAAGCCGTGAACGAAGCCCTGGCAAGAGAGAAGATGACCCCAATCACTGTCAACCTGATGAGTGAGTGATCTTTGGGCGTCAGGAGAGCATCCCAGCAGTGCCATCTGCTGGAATGGATGCTGGGATGTGCCTCTGGAGGAGCTTGAAGGCCTCGGTGCGTGGCTGTTTTGCAGATCTGCTGGCTGAGAACGGCCGCCTGCGTTACACCCCGGGCATCGTCTCTGCCTTCGGGAAGATCATGAGCGCCGTCCGAGGGGAGGTGGTGTGCACGGTCACCACGGCCCAGGTGGGCTGGGAGCAAACACAGGCAGTGGGAGCAAACACAGGGAGGGGCAGTGTGGGGGTCCCAGGTGTGGGTTTCTCTGTTTGTGGATTGAAGGCACTTGGGACAGTAATTCACATTCAGACTCAGGTGTTTATTATTTGTTATCAGTCAAACAGTCTCACTGCTGTGAGTTCTACAGCTTTTCATTAGAAGGCACAAAATGGCCAACAATCTCTTGTTCCAAGGTATTTTAAGACTGAACTATCCAATTAAGAACTGACACCTGGATTATTTTCCCTTTTAACCCAATAACTGATCCCAGAGAGCTGCAATGGGGACTTTTGTGCCCAATTACAAAATGCCACCCAAACCCATGGAGAAGGAGGAAGAAGCAGCATGAAGAAGAAACCCAGGACAACACCCTGTGCCCTCCATCTTGCTGCCATCCACAACATACTAAAAACCCCAGAACCTCAATTTCTCACCAAGTGATGCACCTGCACTGCTCTGTATAATCTATTTCACACTTTTGTGGATTCCAGTCTGTTCTGGAGTTTAGGAAACTTTCTCCATGGATGTGGGTCAGAGTCAGTGCTGCCCTGGGGCTCAGGGCACCCCAGAGCAGACACAGAAATATTCCTGGTGCCTTGGGTTTCCACAGGGAGGAAGGAGGGAATGAGAGGAAAGACAAACCTCTCCCAGTTAAGGCTACATCTGTGATTGAAGTACTTGCTGTGAGAGCAGTGAGGACGTGTCTCACCTCTGCCAAGCTGAACAAATTGCTGCAAAGAGAGGGCTGGTACCCAGCAGTTCCTGGTCCAAAATGGAAGCTCTTCATCCCATTGCAGCTCAACAGCTCACAGGTTTCCTTCCTGTGTGTGAACCCAGGGGCTGACAGAAGTCAGGCTGGGTTGCACGTAGAGCTGCCCCTGTTCATTTTTCCAACAGGAAAATGTTTCATGAAATCAGGAGGGCACAAAGTGGTTGTTGTTCCCGTGCTGCCCTTGGGTTATCCTGGTTCCACAATGCTGCATTCCTGGTGGAAGTGTGTCATGAAGAAGAAAATTTATATAATTTATATAATTTGAGTATATATTGTTATTATATAATTTATTGTCATTATATCATTTGAGTATTTTTAAGTCCTTCATTTTCCTGCTCTTCTGTTCTTTTTTTCAGCCCTTGGATGAGGCTAACCTCAGTGAACTGAAAAGTGCTCTGAATGGGTTCTTGGCCAAAGGAGAGGTGTTGAAACTGGAGACTAAGGTCTGGATTCTTGACTTACAAATAAGTGTCACTAAGTTCACACTAAGGGCTTTTGTGTCTCTGATTTTTATGAAAACAAAAAGTTTTGTTGAGTCCAGTTGCTTTGTTAGTTAGTTCTGTGCTTCTTACAAACATGATGATGTTTTAATTTCTAAAATGTTCACTTTGGAATGCAATGACAGCAAAATCATCTCAAAAAAGGTTCTTTGAAAAGCTTTTTTATTTTTTTTTCTTTCTTTACTACTGTAGAACTTGTGTCCTATGTTAACAAACTACTGCTAATCAACTTTCTGTTTAATGTTCCTTCCTCAGACTGACCCAGCAATCCTTGGTGGCATGATTGTCAATATTGGGGAGAAGTACGTGGACATGTCAACAAGGTCCAAGATCCAGAAACTCACCAAAATAATGAGAGAGACTGTCTAGAGAGCTGTCCTGGTGGTTCCCAGGGAAACCTGTCACATGGAAACAATAAAATTCTTTCTTCTCGTGGAGATGGTGCCCAGTGTTGTGACTGGGGAAGCACAGCCCTGAGGGAGGAAGATGCTGAAGCTGCCCTGAGTTTCTGTAGCTGTGGCTGAACATTCGTGGCAGGGCTTGAAATAGTGGCTGACGCTAGGGAAGGTTGTTGGGAAGGACATGGAAAGAGCACTGGGAGAGCTGATGAATGGGGGCAGTGCTGTGGAGGAGCTGCCCAGACAGAGGGAAGGGATGACANGGCACAGCTTTGGGATCTGCAGGGAAACAGGGGGACTGCAATGAAAGTGAGTTTGGCCTCACTGGAGTCACTGTGGCACAGCCTGGGGGCTCCCATGGAAAAGAGGGAGAAACGTTCTGAGGAGAGATTTCTTAGCGCCTTATTACATTTTTATTTCAGTGTTCACTTCCCAGCTGTTTGAAACTGGTGCAGGACACAAAGAGGGGCAGCCAAGAGCCCAAGCAAGACCAGAGGGGCTCCTGTCCCATGAGAAGGCCACAGAGTGTCCCAGGGGAGGCCTGCTCTGATTGTCACCCCAGCCACCCCCGTGGCACTGTCAGGGCTATGGGGACAGGGGGAACACAGCTCTGCTGGAGCTCCAGGGGCACAATCCTGTCCTGAAGGACACAAAGGATCCTGAATTCCCCCAGCCAGGCACAGGCTTGGCTTTCATCCCTCCATAAACACAGCAATGGAAACTGGCAGGTGAGGGAGCTGGAGCCCGTTCAGGCCTGTACAATTCCACTGGTGTCACGGGCGCTGCAGCAGGGACAAAGCCCAGGCAGTATTTTTAACCTGGCCATTTCCTGCCATGCCCTTCATTCTGCAGATCCTTATGCCAGGGCATGGCTGCAGTCATGTGGATCTGCCCAGTGTGACTGCTCATGTCCTCACAGTTAAACACATCCACGAGGATTGGGGCTGAAACAGCATCCCAGGGGAAGGAGAAGGGATGGGAGGGTGGGAATTCCTGAGCAGTGTGGGAGAGGGGCTGCCCATCTGGACATGGGGAATATTTCTGCCTGTTTCCCCTTCTCAGCCTGACAATTCCTCTGAGGAACTGAGGAGGAATTCCTCCTCAGTTCAGATTCTTTAGGGCAGCAGTTTAAGATCTGCCTGCTGTGAAGAGGAGGAGAACAAAACACCCAAAATGTTCCTAAAGGATATTAAAAAAAGAATTAACAAAGCAGCTTGTTATGCAAATGCCCTTTGGGGGCTGCAATCCCTGTCTGTGACTTTCCCAGCCTTGCCCTGATTCCCTCGGGGTCTTCACAGCACACCTCAGCAGAGGTGATGCTCTGCACTGCTGGGGCTTCCCTTTTCTGCCATTCCTCAAAAATCCTGACTTCCAAACACCAGGAATTGTGATCTCTGAGCACTGCCAGCAATCCCAGGGTCACCAGGGTGGGAAGAGACCCCCAGAGTCACCCAGGGCCACCCCAGCCCCACCAGCACCACCCCAATCCCTGTCCCCAAGGCCACATCCAGACTGCTCTGGGACAATTCAGTGACTCCAAACCTCCCTGGGCAGCTCAGCCCAAGGCCTGACCACTCTGAGAGGGACAAAAATGTCCCAAAGCTCCACAGAAACCTGAACAGAGACTCTCAGATGTTCCCATCTCACAGAGATCACAGCCAGGAAAAGATCCACCAAAGGAATTTGGGTGAGGATTTTTTGTTCAGTTTCACAGGAAGTGTTTTAAAAACCCCTTTTTGCCCAAGCCCTGCTTTCAGCCCTTTCCCAAAAGCCCGAGGTGGAGATGTAACCACAAATCCTGACCCAGCAGGGTTGTGCCACCAACGTGTGACCCCAGCCAGGGTGACTCCCACAGGTTCCTCCCTGCGCCAGGAATCCCCCAGATCTGCAGATCCCATGGTCTGAGCAGGCAGTGAGAGCAGCCCTGCTGTAATGAATCCACAGAGAAGACGCTCACACACGTTGTGAACAAGAGTCAGAAGACCTCCTGAATTGATTTGTCACTGCTGTGGTGTAAAAACTCCTAAAAATACCTCTGCCTGTGATCAGTCTTTAGTTTCTCGTGCTCACCCACGGGAGGGGAAACACCACCTTTGTTTTTTCAAGCCCCACATCCACCAAACTTCCCCTTACTTGTACAAAGCCTTTTTTAAAATTCACTCCAAGAGCAGCTGGCTCAGTTTTGTCCCAACTTTCTGTTTCAGGTTTATGGATTTGCCATTCAAACAGGCAAATCCATGAAATTCATTTCACAGGACATTGACCAAAGGGAATGTGGAATAATGTTCCCTGGCTTTTGACATATGATCAAGTGCAAGTTTGCCACGAGGAAAGAGGACAAACAACAGCCTTGAAATGGGTGAACCCCTCCACAAAACCCACGGTGAATGCACAAATAAAGTTATTTTATTGGTGTTGGCTTCCCTCTTGTGGCAATGAACAAACTGGAGCCCTAATATCTAACCAGGCCTGGCGCTCCTCCTCTGCTTTATTTCCTCCAGAGCCACTTGCACATTTCCATCATTTGAGTGACATTTGTGAATTTACAAAGATTTTTTCCCCCCACAGTGAGTGTGAGAAGGTACCACTGCTATTAATAAACTGTGTTTCATCAACAGAATTGAGAGCTATTTATAAAGGATGCTGGTATCTTGCTTTTTTTGCAGATGGGGGAACTGAGGTGCGGAATAATTAGAAGCCAATCAGCAGGTCCAAAGCAGAGCTGAAAATAGATCCCAAACCTCCTGAGCCTCAGGGCCACGTTCTGCCAGGGTGGGAGATGGTGACACTCAGCTCCTGGTACCACCGACCCCGTGCCTGTTACCCTCAGAGTTTCCCAAAACTGTTCTTTTTACCTTTGATATTTCGCAGCCAACCTCATAGAACAAATTAATAAATGGAATAATCTCTAAGAAAATCCGGGTGGACCCACATCACCTTTCCTAGTTAAAGATTTGCAGTCAGTGTTTATTCCCCCAACCAGCTCACCCTTAAATTAATTTTTTTTTCAGGTGTCCTGCAGCATCTTAAAAGAATTTAGATTATTTTTTAAAGTCTACAGGCACTTGGTTATGGTTTTCTCCCCCTCTTACAACAGTTGCATGGGAAATAACTGCAACCACCACAAGCAGCCCCGGAAGCATCACATGCACAACAAAATAATAATGATGAATCTTTTTCCTGTTAAAAGACACTAAGCTGACATCCCCCAGGAGGGCAGGAAAATGTGGTTTGAGGTGCTCGATTTTGCAGCTTTTAGAGGAGTGCTGTGTGCTGCTGAGAGCAGAGAGTTCAGTCACGCACCTCGAGTGACACCGGCCCTGCCTGGAATTCCCCTGACCAATTTTTGTGCATTTTCAATCATTCTTTCCGGTTTGGAGGGCAGAAAAAAAAAATTTCAAAGGTTTTCTGACCCTGCCAGTGAGTAAAAAAACTCTTTCTTAATGGGGAAATGAGTCAGGTCGTGCCTGGGCAGGGGATTTTGGAAGGTGGGCGCCGGCTCCATCCCCTGGGAGCTCCTGGTTTACCTGCCTGCTTGTGGAGCAGAGGTGTGGAAAACACTGAGCTGGGATGGAGCCCTTGGGAAAGAGGGACAAAGCCCAACAAAGCCCCTGCAAGCCCTCCTGCAGCTGCAGGAGCAAGGCCGTGGTTGTGATGGGGGAGAGTTCAGTGCTGACCTTTTGGGGCCAGCTTCTCTGGGAGGAACTGGAGCACACGGAGAGCAAAACTCCCCCTGTAGTGCTGGTAAACACCAAAGGTTTTTCCCAGAGGAGCTGCTCAGGAGGTGGTTTCCAGCTCCAGCTCCACCTCCAGCCTGGTTCCTCTGGGACTCCCAGGTGCCCAATCCAGGTGCAATCACTGAACAGCAGGTGGGGAACAGCAGAGCTCAGGTTTCAGGTGAGGCAGGCAGGGAAAGCTCTCGGTGTTTCCAGCGCTGCTCCAAACTGGGCTCAGCAGTTTAACCATCACAGGGTATTTTGGGTTCCTTCCCAGGGTGAGCCCAGCAGGCTTTGTGGCCCTGTGAGGAGCTCGGGTGGGCTGTTCAAAACCTCCTTTCTCCCCCTCTCTGTGCCATCAGCCGCGGGTGGAGCTGGACAAGCCTTGCTGCAGATTTCAGGGCAGCAAGAGCCCTGAGGGAAGCACCGCCCCAGCACCAGCGTGGCCTCAGAACTGTCCCCTTCTTTCTGGAGGGTTCTGGGTGAAAGGAAGATAACTCACACTTTGCGTGGTTTCAGTGGTGCTCTGACTCAGCAGGAGACAGAAAAAGATGTTTTTTCTATCGCCACATGACTAAAAGGAGCACTTTAAGGTCACAACCCCTCAAGCCCACAAGGGAATGTTCTTCCGGGTGTTTCTCCCACCTTGCAGATGTTCAAGTGCTCATTAAGTGACTGGACTGAAACCAGGGACACAGGGAAATGGCAAAGGGACAATATTTATTTAGAATATAATATTTAATTGTTTGCAGGAGGAAAAAACTCTCCTAAACCCTCCCATCTAGGGAAATGGAGGAGTCCATTATTGTGACAGATATCCAAATACAAGGACTGGTTTTATCCAGGCTTAAGTTTTCCTTCCAGTGGAAGGCATCAAGGTACAAACTCTTTATGATCTGGGGGATGTTATTTGTCCAAAATTAACCTGTGAAAGGTGCTCTGATTTTAATTCTTGAAAGCATTATCAGGCTTTGACCCAATCCCCAGATCAGTAAAGTGCCCTTAGCACTCAGTGACTTCCCTGGCCTCAAAAAAAACAGATTTTCTGTCTATTAAAATGCTGCAAGATCACAGAGTGTTCTGGAATAGCAATCAAATAATTTGGGATATGAAACCATGCTTGAAATAAGTCCATTTGAAAATTCAGTGCAGGCATATTATTAAAAAAATAAAATTATTAAAGAAAAACAAGTATTATTCTACATTTTAGATATGCTTTTCTCAGTATTGAAAGCACAGTGAAAGCACAGCTCAAACCTGTCCTTGTGCCTTGGAGTGTCACCCCGGGATGCAGCCAGGGACAGAGGAGGGAATTAAACCTTGACAGCCAAAATAATTCGGGTTGGAGCCGCTGCCTGATTCCGGCGGGGATGCTGAGCCGCGTTTTCTAAAGAGCCTCGCTGGAACTGTCCTGGAACGATCCCAGCGCTCGGGATGTGCAGCGAGAGCGGCACCTAGTGCTGGGAACCTGCAGAGCGCCCGCAGCCAGGCAGCCACACATCCATTTATCCATGAATCCGTGCATCCATCCATCATCAATCCATCCATCCATCATCCATCATCCATCAGCCATCCATCATCCATCCATCCATCCATCATCCATCTCCATCCATCCATCCATCCATCCATCCATCCATCCATCCATCCATCCATCATCCATCCATCCATCCATCCATCCATCCANTTTCCTCTGCCCACAGGGACAGCCAAGTGTCCCCCTCCTCCCTTGCCCAAAATCCACCAGCAGAGAGGCCCCAGGCCAGCGTTCTCTCTGGGGAGCAGCAGGAGGAAGTTTGAGGATTCTGCAGCTCTGACAGAGGGGAAGGCAGGAATTCTCCTTTCTTTCTGTCTTTTCTGCACCAAAGAAGACTCCTGCTATGGAAATAGGAATTGTTCGTGGCGGAGCAGCCCCACCAGGCTCCAGCCCAGAGGAAAGGCCTGGGGACATCGGGTGTGGTCACACCTGCAGGTTGGCACTTGAAAGCTGTTCCAAGAGGGGAAAATGACAGAGAAAACAGATGATCCAGAAGCACGCCTGATCTGTCTCCTCTCACTGTACTTGGAGGAGGTTCTGGATCAGTGATGCAGGGCAAGCCTAGGAAATCCGGAGGAGCTCTGATTTTACTCCTTGTGGGAAAGGAGAGGGGCTTTTGTGCCCGGCTGAAGCGTGGCAGTCCTGTGGGAGCTGCACAGCCGTTCTGCAGCCTTGGAGCCAGCTGCTGGTGTTTCCCTGATGCTGCTCAGTTTTGCTTCAATGTTTCCAAAAGAAAGAAGATCACAGGAAATAAGTTTAAAAGTTCAAAAAGACAAGAACGACTGACAAAAACTTTTCAGATTTTCTAGCACAGTTTTTTTGTCTGCCTCTCTGAGATCCTTCCCCTGGCAGGGGATATAAAGCTGGTCCTGCATGGGATCTGAGTGCTGAGCTCAGCTTTGTGACACATTGTAGGTGGGTTTTTTCTCCAGGGCTGAGTCCTATTTCCATGGTCAGACAGGCTGGTGGGAGGAGCTGTTTGTGCCCTTACCCAAGGAAGATGGAGAGAGAGGAGGGCCCGCAGTGCTGAGGGTGTGGGAAGGGCTTGAAGGGTGGGAGGCACCAAGGGGATGCTGCTGGGGATCCTCCAGTGAGGGTGGAGGATCAAGGGCTGCTGCAGGTCTGGCTGCCTCTTCCACCTCTTATCCTTGGCTTTAGGAGATCGGAAATCATTTGGAGCTGAAGCAGGAACAGCAGGAAGATCATTCTGGAGGACTCCTGTGTGCGGGCAAACAGCAGGGTCAGACAAGGTAAGGGAAATAATTCCACGGAGATGTCGCTCTCCACAGCCTTCCTCCCAGCACCAGGAATCCTTGCAGCTCTCTTTTCCTCCACAGCTCTCTCCCTCTCTCCAGCCTTCCCTCCTGGACCAACTCACTCACCAAATTTCCTCTCTTCCAGCATGCTTTTGCTTGGCTTTGCAAATAACATCCTTAGTGTCCTCGCTAGGAGGTGGAATGGGAAAGTGAATTTTTCCCAAAGGACTGGAGGCACTGCTTGCTTCCACTCTCTTCCTAGTTCAGAACTTTAATTCATTCTGCTTTAGAAACTTCACAGAATTGTGAGATTATTGGGGGGGGGTGTGGAATTGCTTTTAAAACCACTTTCCTTTTCATTGCTAACTGCTGAACCATTCTGGAGCCTGGCAGAGAACGTGTGTGCCCTTGTTAGAGACAGAGCAGTTGTAAATCATCTTCACATTCACAGCCATTTCCAGGGATTATTTCTCAAGCAGTGACAAAAGGAAGGACAAAGCCTGACAGTCTGGATTGTTAGCCACCAAAAAGGCTGAGAAAAGTCTTGTGCAAGGAAATAAGTCCTGGTAGAGCATGAAGCACATGCTCTGTGTTTGCACACCTAGAGCACAACAGCTGAAATTTAAAAGCAAACAACCCCAAAAAGTCTGCAGTTCCCAGGGCTGGGCTCTGAGAATTCCTGACTTTGTACTTGGGCAATTCCAGAAGGATGAAATACAGAGAGTTAAATTGGATTTTGTAGTGAGCTAAGATGGTGTAATCCTGTCTCAGGAACTCCAAGCACAATTTCTGGTGTGTCCCAGCTCCATGAACATCTTGCCTGGAATATTCTCCCTCAGTGTCCCCACTTAGCTCCTGTTTGCCTTTGGAAGCTGCTCAATGAATTAAACCCAGGGGTTGTGGTTCCTTGGGAGAAGGCAGCAGCACTTGCTGCAGTCTGTGGTACCTTTAATTTATGGTCCCTCTCCTGGCTGAGGACTGGTTTCTCCATCAGCACCCCCTTAAAGGTCACATTCTGGGGTGCGTTTTTCTCCCTGACATTTGTCCACATGCAGCACATAGGGAGAAATTAAGTTTGCAGATGTGACCTATGATAACATTTCTGAAATAAATCCAGACTAATCTGCCACGAAATATTACTGAGGAATACATATGCTTGAAATGTCAGTGTGCCAGTGAGATGAACAATTGTCTTTTATTGAATGTGCTGCTCTGCTGAAGTGTCCTCCAAGCAATTGTCCATGGATAAAATCTGTCCTGAAATCTGCCTTTGCCATTTACTGCTGAGCATGATTGCCCTCTTAAAAGCTTCTAGACCAACCACAGCATTCAGACTGAGATATGTTTATTAAATATGAAAAGGAGATGAACAATTACATTTTTATTTTTGCACATCTATTTATTATATAGTTATTAATTATATATTCATTGCTTAGTTCTGTCTCATATATTTTAATTTGTTTATTAGATACAGATTTCTTTATTTTTTATTTAGAAATAAACACATATAATGTATAAAATATGTATATAAACATAAATAAAATATGTATATATACACATCTATGTATATGTAATATATACAATTATATAAATATATAATCTATATAATGTGTATATAAACATATTATAATAAAACAGATATATATATAATATATTAAAATATATTTTTAGAGCATTTGTATCACACTTTCAGCCCTGTCCTGTACAGTTGTGCAAAGGACCTGATGAGACCTACTCAAGGCACGATTATTTCCTATCTGTGGCTGCTTAAGAGATGAAATCTTGACTCTGCTGGAACAAGTGGGGACAATTCCCAGTGCATTTGTTGTCCATATTTCAACCAGATGTGACCAATGTGTCCATCCAGTGGCACTGCTGGCACAGCCACCGTGTCCCACAGTCTACGGGCCCCTTTGTGCCCCAAAGTGGGTGAATGTCACCCAAAAGCTGTGGCGGTGGGATGGAATCCCTGTGCTGTTGGCTGAGGCAGGGGTGCTGCTGTGTGACAGGGACAGAAAGAAGGATTCCAGTCCTCAGGTGGATCAGAAGGCTCTGTTTAATGAAAGCAGCAGGTCTTTTTATATAGGTATATAAAGTAGCAGGTCTTTTGACTTGCTAAGGTGTATTGCATTTGTGGGGTGCCCCCAATGAAGGAAGGAACGATGAATCTGACTCCATGTTCTCAGAAGGCTGATTTATTATTTTATGATACTATATAATATTAAAGAATACTATACTAAACTATACTAAAGAATACAGAAAGGATACTTAGAGAAGGCTAAAAAGATAATAATGAAAATTCGTGACTCTTTCCAGAGTCCCAAAACAGCTTGGCACTGATTGGCCAAAGAGTCAAAATAATTCAGAATCCAATGAAACAATCACCTGTGGGTAAACAATCCCCAAACACATTCCAAAGGAGCAAACACACGGGAAGCAAATCAGATAATTATTGTTTTCCTTTTTCTCTGAGGCTTCTCAGCTTCACAGGTGAAAAATCCTGGGCAAAGAATTTTTCAGGGAATGTGAATCTCACACTATTGGTGACTATGAATAACACACTGTGGAGGACCATAACTATAAACAATGGTTACAGAAAGAGAGATAATAATTGTTTGAATTCTTTCCTTTAAGATTCCCAGGCTCAGCCTGGGAGGAATTGTCTGTTTTCCCTTTGACTGAGCTGAGGATCTGCAGGGCTGTGTCCCGCAGGGCCATGGCAGAGCGGGTGCTGGTGGTCGGCAGCGGCGGCAGGGAGCACGCCCTGGCCTGGAAGCTGGCCCAGTCCCCCCACGTCAAACACGTGTTTGTGGCTCCAGGAAATGCAGGCACGGCTGACAACGGCAAAATCTCCAATTCAGGTAAAAAGTGGGGAGAAAAATCCCTGTCCAAGCAATCAACAACTGAGACAAACCAACTGGGCAGGTGTGGTATTTGCTGGGTGCCCAGGATGAAGGGGGAAAATGATGAATCTGACTCCATGTTCTTAGAAGGCTAATTTATTATTATGATATGATATTATAGAATCCTATACTAAACTATACTAAAGAATAGAGAAAGGATACAGACAGGAGGCTACAAAGAATGACAATGAAAACTCGTGACTCCTTCCAGCCTGACCGTGATTGGTCATTAAGTCAAAACAATTCACACATTGGATAAACAATCTCCAACCACATTCCCAAGCAGCAAAACACAGGAGAAGTAAATGAGATAATGTTGTTTTCCTTTTTCTCTGAGGCTTCTCAGCTTCCCAGGAGAAGAATCCTGGGCAAAGAGGATTTTTCAGAAAATATGATGGGGGCAGGCAGGTATAGTAAATGCAGGGCAACCCTGACGAGGGGGAGTAAATGATGCATCTGACTCCATCTTATCAGAAGGCTAATTAATTATTTTATTATACCATGTTATTCTATATTACATTACATCTAAACTGAATCTGCCCAAGCACCCAACTCGCTCAACTGCTCAGAATTCATGACTGTCTGCTGACAGTCCCAACTCACACACCTGGATTTAATTGGCCAATGAATCAAAACAATCACACCAGAATCCAATCACCAATTCCCTTCAGGCAAACAATCTTCCACGATGCATTTCCCTTTGGCACAACAAATGAGATAAGAATTGTTTTGATCATTCTTTTCTCTGCATCTCTCAGGGTCAGAGTGTGAATCCCACAGGCAGGTGCCAGTCACTTGTCTCTTACTGGTGCCACAAATGATTGAAGGCAAAGATTTCTGCTTTATTTTGGGCTCTGTTTCTGAATTCCAGAGCTGCCTCCTGAAACACCTTGCTCTGTTTGTTTTTACCTTGCTGCTTAAGCTAGTGAGGCTTATATGAGACTGCATTTCTACACCTCATCTCTTCCACTTTTGTGCTTGAATTCTGTGACCAATTCCAGTGAAACTTAACCCAGAAGCAGAGGGCTCAAAGTTCTTAATTCTGAATAGAAACATCTCTGTGCCTGCCCAGGCAGCTCAGTGAAATTTAGCTGTATCATCCAATGCTTTGAGTAAATCTTTACTCAGCTGTTGAAATTGAGTTTCTTTCCCAATCTTAAGTTTTATTTTTCAAAGTTGTTATTGTTGTGATAAGCAGCTTTTAAAAATATATCTTGATTACACGTGGCAAATAAAGGAGATTAATCAGCTAGCAGATGTGTATTACAAACAGTAGTGCAAACTGGAGTTGTTCTCAGCTCCTTTTGGACTCTGCTATTATTACATTGATTTTCCACTTTACCCTTAGTGGGCTGCTTCCTGATTTTAATCACACTTTTAGGAGGGTAGAAAAAAGACATTCTCATCTCCTCTCTCTTGTTTAGGCTTTACATTCAGTTAATGATTTTTCCTTTTCAGCTGTATTAGTGAGCAATCACACTATTGTTACCCAGTTCTGCAAAGATCACAACATTGGGCTTGTGGTAGTCGGCCCAGAAGCTCTTCTGGCAGCTGGTAAGTTAATAAAATAATTAAATAAAACTGAGTTGACGGAAAAAAATAGAAATTGTATTTATATAATATAATAATTATAATATAGATACAATTTTAATATAGATATAATTATAATAAAGAAAAATATAATTATAATAAAATAAAGATATAATAAAATAAAGATATAATATATATAAGTATACTGAAAATTTGATACTATAATAAAATAAATGTATACTAAAAAAGTTCTAATGAAATAAATTTATTATAAAAATATAATATAATGTAATGTAATATAATATATATATTATATTACATTGTAATATAATATATATTTCTGTCAATATATATAGAATGTATATTGACAGAAAAAATCAGCACCTTGAAATCTGCTTTAAAATGGGGTGGGTAACTGTGGGAGTGCTTAGTAAAGTACAGAGCTAAAGAGCCCTAAAACCACAGGCTGAGAAGGGTCAGTGGATATTCAGAACCTCATTGGAAGGTGCATTAATTACCTGAGACACAGGGAGGTGTAACAAAGGGGTGATGGATGGGAATCTCCTTTTGTCACATGT